TCGCCACGGAGCCGAGGGGAGCGCAGTGAGAAGGGACCAGGGCCAGCGAGGGAGGCTGGGCACCTCTGCCCTCAGGAAAGACGCACAGGATCCGGGAGGGCTCCGTGCCGGGCCGCTGCCTCGGAGGTGCCTCGCAGGGATGGGCGCCACCTCCCGAATGCCCCACGCTTTGCTCCAGCATTCGCCAAAGGTCTCCAGGGCCAGCGCCGGTTGGCTCAGCCCGGAGCAGCTTGCGAGAGACCCGCGCGCAGCCCAAGCGGGCCCCGCGGCAGGGGGAGCAGGTGCTGCCCCAGAGCCATCCACTATCCCATATCCACAGTGGCCAATACCGGAGCCTCAGGGGCCACGTACAGCACCCATCCGGCCCTGCTTGGCTCTCCCTTCCCAGCCTCTGGCACCCCGAGCACGGGGCTGTATCCCTGGCCAGCTTGCCTACTGGCGAGAGCCCTACCAAATTCACAGTCCATTGCGGCCAATTTCACAGCCACAGGATGTGAACACTCTATCCCATATCCACAGTGGCCAATACCGGAGCCTCAGGGGCCACGTACAGCACCCATCCGGCCCTGCTTGGCTCTCCCTTCCCAGCCTCTGGCACCCCGAGCACGGGGCTGTATCCCTGGCCAGCTTGCCTACTGGCGAGAGCCCTACCAAATTCACAGTCCATTGCGGCCAATTTCACAGCCACAGGATGTGAACACTGGTAAATGTCATGTTTCCGACTGTGTAAATGTGAAATTTCCCAGTGTTGTAACCACGGGGTCCTGACCCAAAAGGAGATTATGGGGGGGGGGTCACAAACCTGTTGTAGGGGGGCATGGGATTGTCACCCTCCCTTCTGTGCTGCCTTCAGGACTGGACTCCAAAGGCAGCAGCTGCAGGAGCTTGCTCTGGTCTCCCTCCCCCCGCCAGAGCAGGGCAGGTTCTGCCCTCTCCCGGCCCAGTCGGCGGGAGGAAGCCCCCTTTCATGGGGCACCGGGGCACAGCAGATTTCCCGGTCTGGGATGCGTTCTTCATAGCTGTGAAGATAGCGGGGCCCTCATGCCCACGGAGGGACCTGTCCGCCGTGGGTTTCTCCAGCTCTGCTGTGAACCTAGTTAGGACTCTTCCCGCGCGGGACCTTCAGCTGCACTGCAAGGGGGTGCCCCAGGCCAGAGGAAGGGGGCCGTACTCACCCAGGCCGAGTCGTTGAAGGGGAACTCCGGGAGCGCCACCGTCATATACTCCTTCTTGGTGCACACCGCCACCACCAGCATCCCCTCGGCCGTGAAGAACGCCTCAAAGCCCGTGCCGCCGGCCGTGAAAAAGCTGCAGGGGGACGTCATCAGGAGGGAGGGAGAGTGGCGACGCGGGTGTTAGGAGCCGGGAGGGCGCATGTGGAAGGGAATGGCTGGGAAGCGGGTCTCCATGCCCCAGGGTGGTTTTCCTGCCCCCAGGATCCCGAGAGCAAGCTGGGCTCTTCTCACCCAGTAATAAAGGATCAGCCCTTCACAGTGGAGCCGCGACCCTGTGGTCTTCAGATTCTGCCCCAAGCAACCTCATGTACCCCCCCCCCAGTCACACTGGGGCTGCTAGGGGTGGGAGAGCCGAGTTCGGCCTGGCAGGAGCTTGGCTATCAACTCGGCTCTAAGTATGTGGCCTCCCTCACGCCCCTCACAGAACCAGATCTATCCTCACAACCACGGGAGAACCAAGGCTCAGAGAGGCTAAGTGACATGCCCAAGGTCAGACAGGAAGTCTGTGGCAGAGCAGGGACCAGGTCTCTCCAGTCCTAGCGTAGCACCCTAACCACTGGGCCGTACTCCCCCTCATGCAACGTTGTGCTACTGTCCGAGTCAGGGCAGACGCCAGTTCCCTCTCCAGAGATGGGTGGGCACTGCAGGAATTCAACGCCATTGCTAAGGTGAGCGACGACCGCACAAGAGGCAACCGGGACGCCACCTCTTGGAGGAGCAATTCCCTGAAACACCTTTGAGAAATCTCCCGTAGGAAGCGCGCGCCCTGTTGTGGGCTGGCCTGGGATGCAACTTCTTTACGGAGGGAGATGGGATAAAAATTGCAACCTTGGGCAGTCTCTTTGGTACCCACTGTTTTAAATCAGGAGCAGGCAAATACCAGCTCGCGAGGCAGCAGCTGGTGGGTTTAACCCTGGGCTTGCTGGGTTCCCAACTCCAGGGAGCTACAGCGGGTTTCCCAGGAAGGGAAGGAGACAAGAGTAACCCCCCCCCCGGCCCTCTGCCCCCTCCCTACCTATACAGCTGTTTCCGCTTCAGCTGGGTGGGCCGATCCAGCTCTTCCTGGGGCTCTTCGTTCAGACAGAGCCTGGGGTGGAAGGCAAAGCCGCTCCCAGGCCACTTCTGGATGGCCGGCACCATGATCCCCGCCATGCTGGGCGTCAGGTCGAAGTACTGCAGGGCCCTCTCGGACCGCTCCCTCCTGGCCATGCCCGAGAGCGCCCGCACGACCTGCGCGGGCTAGGGATTCGGCTCCCTCCGTGGCTGGCGCC